ATAGATAGATAGATAGATAGATAGATAGATAGATAGATAGATAGATAGATAGATAGATAGATAGATAGACCGACCCATGAGTAGAGGTAATGCAGCCTGATGATATTTACACAACATCAGATAACGTTCCCCCCATGCTGAGCAGGGGACACGCTATCTGACGGGTTTCAGAAGCCCATCAGATACCGCTGCCCCCATGTTAAGAAGAGGGGAACGCTATCTGACGGGGTTTAGAGGCCCGTCAGATAGCGTTCCCCACTGATGTAATTTACATTGAGTTGCAATAAATGCAAAACTCTCTGCAGGTACTTGTCTTTGTCGTCCACTCTATTCAGCTGGCTTTTGAAATACACAGCTAGAAGGTGGGGGTCGGGTGGTGAAAGTTACAGGGGCAAGAAACTCAAAAGTAACACAATAGTTACTTTTACTAGTAACTAGTTACTTTTATTGTGGAGTAACTCAATTAGTAACTCAGTTACTTTTTGGGAGAAGTAACAAGTAACTTTAACTAATTACTTTTTCAAAGTAACGGGCCCAATACTGATTATCATCCAACTCCGGAAAATGTGGTCACAAACCTGTTGTCTCCTCCTGCAGGGGTTCCTGCGTTAGACACCAATGTTTGCTCATTTTGGTTCTTTCCAATTAAAGTTTTGAGAAAACTAACTGCTTGCCTGCCTCAAAAACTGGATCCTGTTGTTCTGAGGCTGACAGGAGGTCAAGCTTATTTAGGCACAATCCAAAATAAAGGAAATTTAGAGTAACCTGCAGCCAAGACCCTTAATTAGGGTTCATTATTGTATTCAAATTTTGTTTGTTTATTACTGTTAATCACAGGTTACCATGCAAAAGGCCTGATCTTTCATTTTAGTCTCAATATTATATTCGCTCTAAATGAAAGCCCAGATTATGATCTGAAAAACAACTTATCTGTGAGTTTTCGTCTCTGTTAGAGCTTTCTATAAATTCAGGGTTTCAATCAAAAGAAGCAAAACATGACCCTTATTATTGCAAAACATCAATAAAGTAGACAATGCAATGTTCCACCAACTGGTTCTGGCTTTTTCCTGATTTCTTTTTTTTACTTTTTTTTTTTTTGTTGCATATGTTTATTCTGTGCAGCAGTAAAACAGGTTAATCAAGCCTGCTTTTCTTAACTGGACTCAGCTACGTTGGCTCTGTTGAGGCTGGCACACATAGATGCACATGCAGCCGTTCAACATTTGTGGCACGGGAAGGAAATTGATGCTTAGCAGCAGGTTCATTACAACATGGTTTCCTGATATATCAAGGTTTCATATCTGCATAATCACATGGTCATATGTTAGCTAAAGCTAATACAATGATAATTACTCAAACAAGTTTCTTGCACTTTATCCTCTGGAATGTCAGCGTGACACTACAGACGCTGTTTTTGCATTGATATTTCACTTTTTTTTTGCTGAGTGGCAGTAACCGAGTGAGCAGAAGTCCAAACAGCCACAAATAAATGTTGATAATTAGGATGTTGTCAGCTGATCAATGGGCTGCTGCTGTCACAGAAAAGCCCAGAATAAGGAAGTTGTGCTAAACCCCAGCAGCTAGAAAGAGTTACAAATCTGAATAAAAGTGTTGCTGCCAGTATTTTTACTGGCAGCAACTTTTATTGGAGAAGAGTTAATTTAGAAGAATATTTTAAAGGTTAAACAGTGCAGTTGTGAAACCCTTGTTTCCTTTTCTGCTGAGAGAGAAACATGTAGACCTACTGAAACCTATTTTGTGCCTGCTTGCAGTCTCTGAGATCATCTGAGGGGTGCTTTGTGGTAAATATACACAACGGAAGAGGCCAGGTTTTCTTTAAAGAATATGACAAATCAGAACAGAGTCATTCAAATGTCTTCATTCAAAACTCTCAGACTGCAGGAGACGACAGCATGAAGAAAAGCATCACTTTCTCGCAGATTATAAGAAATCTTCTTCAAAAGTTCCCTTTTTTTAAAGACTGCAGTTAGAAATGTGACTGTAAATGTGGTGAGATGGTGTTGCACCTGCAGCAACTTCACCAAATACCATTTAGCACTTCTGCAGTTACATGAGGGAAGTTCAGAGTCCCATCTTTAGAAATAAATACGTTAAGGTCAGATGACAAATCAGTTTTATCAACAAGTACAAAGAGAAACTTCTCCTTTTTAGCTTCACATTCAAATGATGGATTTCCTGTTCAGTCACTCGACAGTGAGCATTTTACCATATAGGGATGCAGTGTGGTGTCGAAGGGCAACAGGAAGAGAAAAGAAGAAGTAACACGACTCTCTGCTCAAGTCCCAACTTGCTGACAGCTTAAGCAGTTCAGACTGGTGAGCCCTCTACCTGCCAGAGGTAAGAGATAAGCCAAGCCAGTCTGCTTCAAAACAACGTGTGCAAATAGGCCTTCTTCATATATCAGTGCCTCACTCTGCTAGTTCTGTCTGGACCTGCTCGAAGCAGGGGAAAGAACAACTGGAGGGCTCCAAATAAACTGGTTTAAGAATGCTATAAATTCCTTTAGTTAACTTGAGTTTTTGTAAAGTTTGTCAGACAAAAAAGTTCAAATGTTTTGGCAACAGAATCAAAATATATGCAATACAGCTATCGATTTCAATAAACTGGATCTTTACAATTAGGGAAGTTCATACACGAAAGGAAAAAGATTCCTCATTTTCAAAACATTTACAACACAAATCTGAAATGTGTGGTGTGCATTTGTATTCATCACTGTTTACCCTAAAGCCTCTGAATAAAATTCCCTTCGAGGTCACTTAATCAACAGTGGGAGTACTTCTAATCTTGAGTTTAACTGCAGACAATTTGGGTTTTACCTCAGAGGTTCTCTGAAGAAGCTGCAGATTCCTGATCTGTAGATGGTTGTGAGTGGCTAATCGCCCCTCCTTACCCCCTGTATACTACACGACACAGGACGCATGATGAGGCTTAAACTAAATATACTTTACTCAGCTGTCAAATCAGAAACATCTTCTTCATGTTGGAAAAATCTGACATTGTTCTTACAGTTATAATTGTAGAAGAAACAATGTCCCGTAATACTCCTCGGGCTGCTGGGAAGGTCCCATACAAGCAGCAACTCAGAAGGCTCGGCCTGTTCCAGAGCAAAGCGTTAAGTGAAGCACATCTGGATTAATCAGGGCTACATTCCCCCCACAGAAACTTTTGCTTTTACACAACAACTAGTTTGCACCGGTGCAAAGGTGGAACGCAGTTCCTGTTCAAACTCCTCAAAGCCTGTTTTTGTTGTGCCTTGGATGATTAAGACACCACACTGAAACTTTTCTGCTTGTGCAACTCCAGATGAAGTCCATCTGCAGTGACACAGGCCAAGCTTGTATTTACAAAAGATCCTCAGCAGCCAGACTTCGGATTTCAAAAGACCAAGATAAGACAGTGAGAATGTTGAAGTCACAGCTTAGCAAGGCTCTGTAAGAAGAATGCTGATTGGACAACTTAATTTCCCCATTGAGGTGCAAAGTTGTCTCCACTCTTATTCTAAATGCAGGGAGCAGGTGGAGGCAGGTGGATTATGTAAATAATGTACTTTATTGTTGAATGAAATAAAAGGCAGATCTTTAACTGACAGGTGAACAATAAGGTAAACACAAGATGGGAACGATGAAGAAACCAAAGCACAGTCACCGCAGTATAAATGATGGACCCTGAGGAACACCTTTATTAATTCATTCAGACTATTTGCCAAGCTGTGTTTATTTGCAGATGATTTCTCTGACACCTTACAGGCTGCTCATTTTCTGCTCATCCTATTTACCCAACGTGGGCAGATGGTAGCGCGTCACTGTTGCATTCAGCAGTGCCTACAGTACTCAGACAGCTCATTACAATGCAACACACCCAGTTCAGAGCGCTAGCACACTAATCTCATGTCCATAAAAGGCATTCTTCAACTACTGCCTCTTCTAGCGTTGATTCTCTGTTCCTCTTGGCGACTCACGACCACCACCTACTGGTAAAAGACAGGAAGTGCACTTTGTGTATTTTTCTAATAATCAGAATCAGAATTACTTTATAACTGTAATAACCCCTTGCGGGAAATAATAAATAAACTGCTTGTTAGGGCTTTCTGTGCTGACAATTTGTGAAAAGATCTAAAATAATTGTGAAATATCTGTAATTATAGTGCTGATTTTGTGCTGTTTACAAAAAGGTTTAAAGTAAGACTGTGTTTCATTTAGTAACACTTACGACGGTGTTTCTTTAAAAGTTCTTCTTTCAATCCTTTAATTTCTAGCTAAAATATCACTAATTAGAACAACAACGTTTTATTTCTTGCAATGTATTTGACCAGAGGCCCCCCTGCATAATTTCATTCCTTGTGCATTTTATGCTTTATCCGCTCATTTCCGAAGAAACTATGCCCCCTGCAGGCTATTTATGAAAATGCACAGCAACGCATAAACTGGATTTAACAATCTGCACAAATCCTGTCTTTAAGTGATTTAAAGTCACACATGAAACACTAGTAAAAGGTCTACACTAAATAAAAATTAAACGTTTTATTGTAATTTTTTAATAAAGGCTTTTCTCCCTTAGATTAAATAATTAGATGAGTAAATATTTGATGGGTGACCTATTTTTAGCAGCATGTTGGAAAACTAGGAGTTGTTTTGAACGTAGCCTCTGTGAGTCCACCCAACTGTTACCGCCCTCCGAATCAACGCCCAATGAGAGCGACGAACACGAACCTCGGAGTCATGTGATTGGCTGCTGCTGGTGTCAGCAGGACTGCCTCCACTGAATAGTCCCGCCTCATACAGGATCTGGGAAGCTTAGCTGCTGCAGCTCTTTAAGGGGTGAGTTGACACACTGACACATATTTTATTTCATTCTTCCCATTTTCTCCTGGTGATGGTGTTGGGTTATAACTCCCCCGCAGTGCTTCTTTTGTGTGCGGGAAGCTCCGCTCGTTGGGTGTTAGCATGAACTCAGATTCCAGAGCAAACAATGGAGGTGTGGATGCGCGCGCAGCTTGGGCTTAGTAACGGTTGGCAACCACGTACAGAGATACCTGCTTATTTAAAACAGCAGCTTTTTATACGGAATCTTTGATGAAAGAAGTTGATAATAAAACTCGGTACTTGATTGTTCTGTGCTGGTTTAGAACCCCGTGCGGCTGATTAAATGCGTTTCTGGTGGTAAACAGGAACTCGTGAGAAGTCAGGTGATCTAAACAAGGAGAAGGTTACTGCAGTTATAAACGGATGGAAACGAAGGAACGCGGTGGGTGTGTCCCCTACAGAGCGAGTGGCCCTTAGTAGCCTCCACATTCTATAATAACCCCGAGGTGTGGTAGCAATTCAATTCAGTTTATTTATACAGCGCCAATTCACAACACAGGTCATCTAGAGGCACTTTACAGTTCACCAGATCATACAGTCAAATTGATTCAAAGTTTTCTATCTAAGGAAAACCAGTTGATTGCGTCGAGGCAACTCATGCAATCCCTCACACTAAGCATGCTTGAAGCGACAGTAGAGAGGAAAAACTTCTTTTTAACAGGAAGAAACCTCCGGCAGAGTCAGGCTCAGTGTGAGCGGCCTTCTGCCGAAGCCGACTCGGGTTCAAGAAGACAGAAGCAGAGATGCAAAAGCAACTGTAAAAGGCGTCCCTGTACAGGAGAATTGATGAAATAATTGCTGACTGTTGCAGAGCTGACAAACTGAGATTAAAGGTTAATATTAATTAAAAAAAAGCCACAAAAAGTTCTGCAGATGTCGACATTAAAATGTTGGAATAAACGTACCTCACAGATATATGAACTTTCCTGTAATAGAGGTTGTAATAAATGTTATTTAGTTTATTTATGTAGCCAAAATAAAATATTTTGTACAGTAGTTCAAGCTGTTTTTTTGAAAAAATGTATGGGATCTGGAAGATGAAAGGCTAATGTAATACGTGTGAAATTCAGATGTCATCAGCATAAAATAAAAGAACACCAATCGGTCGATTTAAAACTATTTGATTCGGCTGTGTCTGTTACATTGGACCTCTCATCCCTGATTCTAGTGAAAACTTTGTAGGTGATGCCGTTGAGGGTATATTTTTGTTTTTGTAAATCAAACTCATATTTTACATGATCGCAAAGGCATTTTGTAACATCCTTGATATGAAACTGTGGGGAGGCAGTGGGGCTCTGAAAGCTGCTAGGAAAGAAGATAAAGACATGAACAGATAAATGTCATAACTCACTCAAAGTTCTCCTAAAACATTCATATATTTCCTTTTGGGTGGGGGCTGCTTGTTGGCACTACAGGGTGAATTGAACCCTGCAGCAGAAGGTAGCATTCAGCAGCTCTCTGTTAGGACCCTGCAGCATTCCTCCAGTCTGACATCATGCTGCAATAAAAGCTACGTTTATATTAAGGTTTGTTCTGCATCGTTTATTCATCAGTTTGGTTGGGTCTTTAATATTTAATTATGTGGTCCAACCTGTTTGAAAACAGGAAAGAATACCGCTTAAGGAGCAAGTTGGATCTGTACTGCAGAGCAAATCAACACCAGGAGAAAAACAGCTCAAACTGGATTTATTGACTATGCCTTTGTGTTTTTTACTTCTCTTTTAAGGAGTGCATGTTATCGGACTACAGGGCATCATGGGTAACAGTGATAGTGTGATGGTGCAGAAGCGAATGGCCCGTTTTCGGCCCGAGGAGCGGACCACCATAGATGGGGTCTTTGACAGACTGCTGGGTGGTTCTGGAGCGGAGAAGACTCTTCAGCTGGAGACGCTGCAGGTCAGTGGATGCAAAAGAAGCTCCCAGATCATTATCCTTCAGTTGACGGTGGAGCTCTGACTGTCGGCTCTACTCTATGAATAATATAAACTAAACAACAACTGGAAAGTGGTGGACATAGATTTATTTTTTTAAACTAGATTAATCTCACTGTAATCTTGGAATTAATCTAGATTAAAATCGCTCATTTGAATTCTGCCAAAGGTATTCATGATATGTGTGTGCTACTTTTTTTTGTTTGCAAAATCACACATAATTTTTATTTTCTTACTTATGATTTTGACAGTCATAAATCCTTTTTTTGCTCATTTGTTGCTGTGTTTTTGCTGGAAAAACTACTGTCCCACATCCAATTACAGATGTCCCACTTTAACAATATAGTTTCTACAAAAATCCAACTTTGGGGCAACAGCCTTTGAGGACAATACTAAAATCTGTGTGTAGAATTTCTCTTGTGATGTGAAGATCCAGAGGTTTTTAAAAATGTATCATGACTCTTGCTCCAGAAATGAAATGGGCTGATGGAGAATTACCTCCCCTCTCACACACTGATGACAAAATGGATTGAAATATGAAATAAAAGGGAACGTTTAAACATATTCTTAATGTCTTCATATTTCTTACACATGGATGCTCTAAAATTGAGTTTTGGTCGACATGCAGGAGTTAGATGGCCTGCTTCCAGGCGGAGGAGCTTCTTACATGCTGCACCTCATTTAGAAATTTTTAATATTGTTAGTTATACATTAAAGTATGAAGTAGGGATGCACCATATTGGGATTTTGGCCGATATCCGATATGCCGATATTTCAAAAGTCATATAGCCGATAACCGATATCGAAACTGATGTTAAAGCTGGACAAAAATAAGTAGTCATTGAAAATAGCAGTTTTGTTATCCATTTCTGACACTTTGAAA